CTTATCACACGTGTCAAACTACATCCATGTACTTTTCACATGTGTCAAACTACATCCATGTACTTATCACACGTGTCAAACTACATCCATGTACTATTCACACGTGTCAAACTACATCCATGTACTTTTCACACATGTCAAACTACATCCATTTGTGGTTAATTGAAGATTTACTATCACTTCACATCTAAACCATTAATAAGAACAACGTTTGGATTGCCAGGTTTTATAAAATCATCAGGGAGACCCCTTTACCGACCTATTTAGACTTGTTATGGTGAGAGATGTTGTTTTAATGATGTTTTTAGGTAAAACAGTTGTTTGAATAAAAGCTTTTCTACCCGCGTGCCCCTTTTAAATTAAATCATTTGGACCAATTCAATTTGAATTGTTATCTGTGAAGCAGCACTTCACATGAAACAATGAGTTATGAAGAAGGTCTCTGACTGAAAGCTCACCAATTATAAAGACATTAGCACAAATGAGTGTGCCGTTTGATTTCTTTCAGCTCTGGCTCCTCAGCCAAGTCTGATACGTGATTAGCTGTGAGTTTTTTTCACAACATACATTATTTCAAGGCACTTTAAGATCCAGACCTTACATTGTTATAGGGAGAACCCCCCACTGTTCCCACAACTTGCAAACGCTTGGCGACAGCGTAGAGAAACAACTCCCTTTAACAGGAAGAGTCTTCAAACAGAGGCAGGCTCGAGGTGGACGACCACCTGCCTCCTTGGATTAAGAAGAGAGAAATGGGGAAAACAGGAAAGGTGGGGGTGAAAGGAAAGAGAGAGATCAGGAACTGTTGTGTAACTGATGCAGTTCTGTGTTTCTGCTCAGTTGTGATTCCTTAAGAAATGTTGGAAAACCCAGATTAAGCACTTGACCTTTCACGCTTTCCTACAAGTCGTAAATCGTGGTTGTAAATATTGCGCCTGCACGTCGTGGAGTCTGCCGTTGAAAATGTTGTTTAGAAGGGGATGAAAGAATTTTGGTTCAATTGTCCCGCCGTGTTTTTCCAGAGGGTTGATCAAACAGTCCATTGGTGGGGCCTCATGAAACAAAGACCTAAACAAAACAAGCAAAGTCTCCTGCTGGTGGAGGATTTTCCACGCATCTGGCAACCCAAAAATGTGTCCTGAGTTAAGAATGATGGAGAAAGAATGTGTGATGTGTTAACTATCAGTGAAAACTATTTAAGTGATTTATCTTATAGTCAAACCAAACATTTCTGGATTAAAAATGGGATATAAAGAATTACTTAATGATGCAATAAATATTAGTAGAGAACTAGTTTGAGTTTATAACTTATTAGAAAAGACTTATTCCAGCAGGTGTCATATCAGAAGATCAAACTAACTAAAAGAAAAAAGTCACCTGCTAGTTTAGGATGTTCAACAAATCTGGCAACCCAAACATTTGAGTTATAAATTATGTTAAAATAATTTGTGATGTGTTAACTTCCAGTGGAGACTTGTCTGGAGTTAATAACTGAAATAGAAAATGCTTTAGGTGTCTTATCAAACAGTTATACACACGAAAAGACCACTAACAGAGTCCCGGCAGGATTTTCCACAAATCTGGCAACCTGTTTGTCTTGACTTTAACTTGATATAAATAGGATTCCTGTGTTCAGGTACATGTTTACCATCAGTGGAGAAGTAATGTAAAGCTTATAAAGCCTGTAAGTTATCAGAAAACACAAAACCTCATTAAAAACCTGATCGGAAGGTCAAATAACAAAAACAACAACAAAAAAACTCCTGCAAAGTGTCTCGGTGCTGAATCCTTCAACAAATCTGGCAACCTGAAAGTTGGTCTTGTAACGGATCTCAGTGTTTTACTGTTTTTAACAGTGAGCAGAGAAGTGATGAGGTCAAATCACTTCACCGTCTGTGTGAGTTCTCACAAGGTCAAACCAACAACACCGGAAAACAACAACTCGTTAAACGTCCTCTAACAAATCTCTGTGTTTTTATTTCGGTCTAAGAAACTTGCAGGAGAACATCCTCCGCTGTGTCTCAGCCCAGCGTGTCCGAATGAATGAGGAGGAAGATTTATCTCTATAAATATATATTCATGTATTTATATCCCGGGGAAATCTTCCACCGGAGCCGCACGCGCTGACTTTAGAACCGGTTCCCTTGCTCACGTGCGTCTCGAGTCTGTGTAACGGTGCTCCGTCACGCGCTGCTCCTCGAGCTGCTCCTCGAGCTTCCAGCGTGGAAAGTGAAAGTTTGGTCGAGTCTCCGGTGAAGGTTTGAAACGTGCTCACCTTCTCTGCGCCCGGTGCGGGAGAGTGTGGGACCCGGGTCCGGTGCAGCCGAGCAGCAGCAGCAGCAGCAGCTTCTCCTGGGACTGTGACACACTGCGATGTAATGTGGAGGCTCCGGAGCCAAAATGGAGACTGAGCCCTGTTATTAGTCTCGTGTAGGGAGGCGATCAGATGTCCTGTGACTAAATGTCAAAAGAGACATACCAGCCCCTGTCCACCGCTCGTTCTCTCTGATCCCTGTCATCATACACTTTCTATTGTTCGGTTTTTCATCCTGCTAATCTTTTCATTTGTTATTCTCTTTCATTGTGGCTTCCATAATTCATTCATCATATTGTTTTGAATATAATGTGAAATGTTCCATAGCACTTATTCCTATTTTTATTATTATTATTATTATTATTATTACTGCCACTTTTCTTTGTTTAGTTTAGTTTCACTTCTGCTTTTACTTCTATAGGCGCTGGTTCAGCATTAGTCCTAATACATTTTTCATTTTCACTTATTCACTGTATTCTAAATATATTGTAATCTTGGAGCAGACTGGCACAATCATTTACTTCGATTTATATTTAATATATATATATTTAGAGTATTATTCATTCGAAAATTAATTTAAGTTACTAAAGACTAATTCATTCACTCTGCTTAAACTTGAACTGAATTGAATACCTTTTTGAAACTCTGTTTAGATAAGTGCTTTATAATAAAGCTATTATTATTATTATTATTGTTAATATCCCCGACAGAAACAGGAATGTAAAGACACCAGTGCTGTAGTTATCTATTGCCCTGCTCTGTTTCAGGTGCTGTATGATGGACTTTGTCCCATATGTGTGACAGAGATTAGGTTCCTCCAGTTTCTGCAGAGAAACCAGCCTCAGAAAGTGGATTTTATTGATATCGCACTGCCGGGCTATGAAGGAGGGAAATATAAGGACGTCAGCTATGAGATGGCCATGGAGGAAATGCATGTGATTGATGAGAAAGATGAGGTAAAGTCACATTCCTCCGAGTTCATTAAGACTGTAAAATGTATGTCTGTTATATCAAGTTGCAGTTCTGCAGATTAGTGGTCATGTAAAATTTTGTCTAAAAGCCTATGTACTTGCAGGTTTACCGTGGGATTCCGGCATTTGCGGTCATGTACGGTGCCGTGGGCCTCGGTTGGTTAGGTCGCTTCATGATGTGGCCAGGTGTTCGGCCATTTATGGACAAATCCTACGCCATCTTCGCCAGGAATCGCCTGAAGTGGACCGGACGTGGCGAGGAGTGCACCTCAGGACGCTGTGAAAAGAAAACACAGTAACCCACAGAGAAAACCACTACGTTAAATAAGTTAATTAATTGTGAAGAAGAACTGGATAAAAGATCACATGGTATTTCCAGCTTAACCATTGGTAAAAAGTACCAAGACTCTGAAGGGAAATATCAGCTGCTGTATTAAATGTGTAGTGTAAACTGTGGAGACTTTGTTTATTGCTGAATGTTGTTTTGCTTTTAAAAACATTTGTCTGAAAATACACTGTCTATTTACATGATTCCTGTCCTTATTTTGTAAAATAAAGTTTTTAACTGAAGTCAAAAAGAGGAAAAGACACATTAGGACAGACTGAGGTCATTATCTATTCTCTGCACTAGATGGTAATATACAGAAGTGGCACGGAAAACATATTCAGCAAAATACAGCCTGTTTCCTGCTCATTCAAAAGCAGATATAGGAGTCAGCCACTAGATGTCACTGTAGGTCTAAAATATGATCTCCTTTAAAAGTGTTGAGTGAATTTTTTCTTACAGATCTGAGTGAAACCCATAATTAGATGTTCTGACAATAAAGGAAACTCGACATACTCAAACTCACTGGATTAGCATGATGTGTTTAATCCGAATGAGTCTGTGTAAATCTTGTCTTTGAGCTGGACAGACAGTTTGACACTAGTGTCTCGTGTGAGCATGTTTAACAATACTCTGCAGAACAGCATGTGCTCGTGACAGATCATGAGCTGTGGCTACAAGCCACCAGCGTTTACAAAAAACAGCCTGAGAAATCACACTTTTCAGGTTTGTTTACACTTGACTTTAAAAAAAAAACTTCTACGGCAGCAATCTTTAAAGAATTCCATGTATTTTAAGCATATGGGTTTAAAAGTGGCCTCTTCATTCACCTGCACTCAATTACATTATAATTACAGGGAAGTATATTTATTTTATGTTTCTGAGCTTTTTCATGATGTCTTGTGATATATCAGCTAATTTTAGTGTTAGTACCTTGTAATGACTCAATATGTACTGAGTTCATGTAAAAGTACTGATTATATAGTTTAATTTGACCTACTCCTAAGAGCAGTTTCCTAAAAAAAAAAAAGTATTTACTTGCAATTTCATACGAACAAAATATTGACATTGTCAGTGCACATGGTTTCGCAGAAAGTGCGTCAGAGCTGTGTCTGTTTTGGAGGTGTGTGCGTGTCTGCGTGTGTGCGTGCCTGCGTTTGATCATGTGATGTCACGGAAGAAGCTGCGAACATCAGTCCACTGAGAGACGGTCAAGCTGTCAACCCCCCCCCCCCTAATTTTAGATCTGTGCTTCCAGTGCAGCAGAGACAACACATGACCTTAAGCCTGTGTGGTTGTACAGAGCATTGGCCAAGCTGCACCACCCCCCAGCTCAGCTCAACCAATAAGACTGAAGCCCTGCACCACAGAAGCATAAGGTGTCAAAACATAGTAGAATTAGAGTTCCTGAAAGTTTGTTGTGTTGTACTAGACCTTCTAAGGACAGGAAGTTGGTTGAAGGGGAATTGTAAAGGAAGAAGAAGTAGGTGTTGTGTTTCAGGTAAATCTACAGCGAATATATTGTTATCAGGTGTTTTGTGTCAAGGTTAGAGGAGCTGCAGTAAGTAAGCTACTTAGGTTCATGACCTTCCCCTACTTACATGGAAAACAACCAGAGTAGATGTTTGCACACCTAAGCTGCTTTCCTTTCTTTCTGTGAACGCTTTAGAGAAACACTTTGTCTGAGTGTGCAAAGATTGGTTATTTGAAAAAAAAAAAGCACTTTTGTTTTTTAAAGGTGAATGGTGCATTTATTGTGTTAGAGGCATGAGAGCAACTAAGCTGTCTGTGTTCGCAAATATTTCACATTATAGACGTAAATCTTTTGACAGAAGGTAGAGTTGTTTACAGAGTGTAGCATGATATATTTACCCTATGGTTTCATGTTACATTCCAGAAGAGACAGTTCTCGGAAACCGTGGATTTGTTAGGCTGTTGTGGAAAGATCTTTGAACTCAGTGTGATCAGCTCAAGCATTCCTTTAAGTGGGATTTGTTTATAGAGGAGACAATGTCCTTACTGTTCCCCAAGGAGATTGTGTTTTGAACCATTGTTTCAGTATATTTACGTTGATATAACTTTCGTGCAATTTTGTGCGTAAGCAACTGACATTTCTGGTGATTTCAGTCTATTGAGACTGAAATATCAAATGTTTGAGCGTTTTCCATGATTTTCATAGTCCCCCGAGGATAAATGCTGATCCATTTAGAAACATCTTAGTGACTGAATGAAATTTAAAGGCCCGAGACCACAGGATACATTTTTTATTAGTCGACTTTTTAACTTATTCAGTAAATATGTCAACAGATAGAGATTTTGTACGATCAGGTTCCCTAGAGAGAGATGTAAAATACCTTTGATTCCCTGACCTTTACATCAATAATGTCAAAAACTAAATGACATTCCCTTTAACCTCAGCTATACCTTCATGAAGATGGGGACATGCAAGTTTGACAACAAGTAACTTAAAAGTCGGTTTCTTGAGATGCTACGAACCGCGCTGTGACAAAAGTCTGTCAAACCTGGGACAATGGGGATCAAGGTGGTGAAGTCTAACAGACATACGTGTACTTGGAACAAGTATATATTCACTTTTGGTGTGTACATCCATCTCAAGTATATATTCTCTTTTGGTGTGTACATCCATCTCAAGTTAGATCTTAGATTTCACTTAAATTGAGCATGTTTGTAGCTAAGAAGATAAACATCGTACCATCAATATGCCGGTGTTGTCATTGTGAGCGCGTTCTCATGTTGATGTTTGTCATTAGCTGAGGGTGAAACCTCCCGGAGGCTTTATCTCCATCTTGTTTTAATGTGTTTCCTTTTTTGTTTGTTTTCTTCTAGCTTCTTGTGAGTATGCTTCAACAGCCTAAATCAATGACGGAACAAGAGTGACATTTGGACTTTGATTGATTGATCAGGGTCCTTCTGCACCGACATGTGTCCGAGTTCTGCCAACAGGACGCTGAGATTATACTACACAATCAGGCACCTCATGAGCCTTCTCAGGAAGCACCCTCGTCTCGCCAAAACCTCGCTCCCCTTGGACCTGTACAGATATTCACTGCTGTCACCCCCTTATCCTTCCAGATTCACAAGAAAAGCCACGTTTAGAAAATTAAACCACAGTGATCCAGGATCTGCTGCTCACGGCTTCAAACATCCACAGGTTGTGCGTTTTTACTCTTCTTCTAATAGGGATGTATTCAAAGCTGAAGCTCCCATTGGGATCTTTGAGGAGGCACAGAGCAGCGTTCATTGGAATTCACTTGGAGGACGTCTTGGACGATCATTTAATCGACTGTCCACACACATTAACAACTACTTCAAGAGAAAGGACATCGTACCTCTAACTGCAAATGCCGGTCTTGTTGCCACAACTCCGGAATTTCTTGGCAGGTCACAGAGGCGCAGTCTGAGTCAACGAGGAGCCAGAGAGAAAAGTTTCTCTGAGGACAAAGACACCCCACAGGTACGTGAATGCAAAAACCCACAGGAGACCTCAGTAACAAGTCCTTCAACCCAGGAAATGTCTGCACTGCAATTATTTCACATCAGCTCTTTGGCAACTAGATTCGGAGAGAGCTACAGTTACGTCGCTAATCACATTAACTCCGTTTTTTCCCAGGGTTCTGCAAAAGTGGAATTAGAGGAGAATGGGAAAATGTCTCTCACCTTAGGGTCAAACAGGAGACAGAGGAGAAGGAAAATGTCAAGCACTTGCATTGTAAACTCTAATGAAGTGAAATCGAGTGCTGAGCAGGCAACAGTTGAATCTAAAGATTTCCCCAGCAGCTGGGACGAGGGCTACCTCCACTTTGCAAGACACATCAATAAGTACTTTGGTGCAAAGGTGTCAGATGAGGTTCGGAGCAGGATAAAGGAACTTCCTGTGGAAAATACTTCTCAACGTTCAACACAGTCTACCTC